AGTCAATTGGAAGAAAGCTGCCAGAATTATGAAAGATCTTCAAATAAAGATGTTACATCTTGTGGAAGATATGGGAAAGCATAAATGTTACTCAAAAGTAGAAAACAAGTTTATTTCAGCTGAACAGTTTGAACAGAAGTACCATTTGATAAAACAGATGTATGACCAGGAAATAGTTGAACAAGAAAATGTTCAAGATAGACATAGCTCACATATTGAGAATGATAATCAAGATGAAGGACATACACAACTAACACAAAAACCTGAAACATTGAATGGATTAACTGAGTGCTGTGAGAGTGTGTCTGATAATATCCAGGAAAATAAAGTTACAGATAGCGAAATGTCCAATATTAAAGCAGGATGTGAATCTGTTCATGCTGATCATGAAACAAACTCAAAAAATAACTGCACTGTTAGCTCCAGTACTGCAAATGGACTTGGCAGCTCAATTGAATATAAAGATCATGATAACATTGATACTCCAGCATTAACACCATATGTTGCTACTACTGTTGTGAAAAATGATAAGTTGGAATGTGGTAACATACATCATAGTAATGGTGAAAACATTAACCAGCCACTGGTAGAACTTAGGGGAGAAGAGGAATCATTGAGAAATGGTACTATTAGCCACAACAAATCTCTGAGTGAGAATTACAGTGCTGTTGATCACTTCAATGGTGGAAATTGCTCAAAGGACTATAGACTCAATGAAGGTAATGCAGATGAACGTGATGCAGCACTCTGTTCAGGAATGAATACACCTGAACCTAAGTCGGCAAATAAATGTATGTCTGTATGTTCTAGGCCAGCACTGTCATCATCATCGTCTGTCACCTCAATGTCTAAAGTTACTGGAATAAAAAATTCAAACTTAATTGATGAGACACAAACAATGTTAGTGACAGATCCAACAAAGTCTTATACTATCATTCAAGAAATATCTCAACCACAACAATCGTTAACTAAAACTACCTCACCTGAGTCTATCATAACCTCTTTAGACAACACTACAGGTTCTCACTCCAAATTACCATTGAAAGAGCATGCATGTGACATGCATAATAGCCCTCATCAATCAAGAAAAAACAATCTTAAAAATGAGATGTCTTTCACTCAATTATCATTGGCTACCAGTGATGCATTGCCTGCCACGGAATGCATAGTTTCTAGTAATCAAAAACAAACATTGACAAAGTCCAGTAGTCAACAGACCAGCAGGCCAAGCACAAAGATTGATTGTGTTGTCTCAAGATTAAAGAACTGTGAAAAATTGCTAGTTACAAATAGTAAAGTTTCTGTTGGAATTACAGAAAAAAGCAAAAACCGGGACTGTGAACCCTCTGAAAGACGTAAACGGAAACAAACAGGAAAGGTTTTCACATTGTCAAAAAGAATTAAGTTGGAGTTTGATGAGGAAAAAGACCTTCAACATGATAAAGATGATGTAGACAAAGAACCTGATATGTCATCATCTTATCAACATTCGTGTGATGATGTATCTAGTATAAAAGATGTTTCAGAATGTGCTAGTGCTACCCGAAGTCCTCCACCTAACCCTAACCTGAAAAACAAAGTAATGGGTGTACATGCAAGCTCTACAGGACACAACAACAGGGAAAACAAACAGTCTGAACAAGAGTCTACTGTAGCTGCCAAAAATAATTCAGCAACACCATTGATTGAGCATCTTAATGCAGGTAACCAACCAAGGAAAAACAATCGCCGCAAGCAAAGCAACCCGACCTCCACAAAATGTGTGGATTTTCCCATTGTATCTTCAAAAATGATCCCCAAAAGCAGGGCCAAATATGGTTGTAGAAAATCAAAGCAGGTTGAGTTTGAAAATGATGAAATACGTGGTGATTGCATTGCACATTCAACTGATTCTCATCAGATGAAAAACACTAAGGAATCATCTATATCCTGTGAGTACCGTATTTTGTTTTCAAATATTGTGACATTGTAACCCTGATTCTGTGTTTGTTGGTCTTATTCTATATTACATGCTGAATCACATGATAATCAGATTGTTGAAAATGGTGATTCAAAGGGGAAATAACGTACCCAACCATAATTCTTTATAAAAAAAAAAGTCATATAGGAAAGTCCAAGAAGACAAAACAAATGATTGACAACAAACTATCCACAAGAACAAGTCAGTACACTACAATTTATAAAAGAGTGAGCACAAATGTATACACAAACCCTTTGAATAGTAAAATTGAAAATAAATGACAATACTGTACTTTTATTTAAAAAATATGATCTTTGCATATGTGATAATGTATACACTATTACCACCGATTGTTTATAAATTTTATATACGTTTGTCATTTACAGTATCATCTGAATCTAATACCATATTTGTTGGTGGGTCAGTTGAAGAACAACAGGATTATACAAGAAGAAGAAAATTGAATGCATGCCAAGCTCCCCTCAGTTCAACAAATAGTTCTCACCTATGCATCCCTGACAAACAGAATAAAAATCTACCGCAAAACATTTCAAATGAACATTCTACTCAGATTTTTAGAAATACCAGAGATATGAGAGACCTTAGTTCATACAACCAACGACATCCTGAGTTTAGCAGAAATGTTGAAAGCCATGAGGTAAATAATTTGCCTCCAGCTGGTGTTCCGGTGAGCAATTCTTTTCATAACATTACCACTTCACACTTGGAAAACAACATTCCCGCACAGTCTAAAAGCAGTGCTGCTTTGCTGAAACCACCTAAACCAAAGAATTATGAAGCCCCATTGCATAATTCAGAACCTCAAAATCGTGTTGTATGCCCTATAATAAGAGAACTCCTACAGAATACAGATTATATTTCATTACCATATGCATATAATTCAAGAGAAAAAATTATATATGGTGGTACTGGAAGATGCGAAAAAGGGAGTAATAAAAAAAAAAGAACTCAATATGCTTATAGTGACAGTCTACCCAAAAGAAGAAAGCGTAAGGTTATTGTTGATGTCAAAAAAAACACACAGAATGCATCACAGAAAAATCAATTTCGACAGCCATCTCCTTCAATGGAAAGTGTATGTCCATTAGATACAAGAATACCAGTTTCCAAGAGTGCAGAACAGAATATTGCTTTAGAGTCATTAAAAGAGTTGAACAATGACATGTCAATGGAATCTATTAGTCAGGAAAAAACTGTTAAACGACTATGCACAAGGAATGGAAGCATTCAGCAACAAGTAAATCAACAACAATGTGTGTGTACTTGTCTGCCTATGAGTAACCTCAACAACCTTGAATGCAGAAATTCTAACCCTGAATTGAATGAATGCCATCATAAACAAAATGTTTGTTTAACCAACTTCAATCTTGGACCCGAATCAGTGGAAGACTTGCCATACAACATTTCATCTGCAAATAATCGGAATCTGCTACTACAAATCAAACCAAGGGCAATTGATGTTGCACAGAAGATCTTCTCTGGTGATAATGGGAAACCAGTCAAATCGATTCAGAGTGACATAGGCCATACAGACAGAATGTTCAGTCCACCACTTCATTCTAATAACAGTTCCATGGTTAATAAACATAGGGAGTCATTTAAGCAAAATGATTTGACAAGTCAGCTATATCAGCAAACCATGAGTGATGTTTTGCATAATCTTGTTACCACCAGGCAGAAAGATACTAATAAGGCACCTATGTTATTGGAAGGAGCAACAGATGTGTCATCTGCTAATTCCCAAAATGGACTTAAGATTGGTTCAGTTTATTCTCTGTCAGGTATAATTGGCGAAAATGGAAAGCTTGTTGACACAATAGAAGCACAATCATTTCTTACAAACATGGAACCCATTGCATTCAGAAATACTGAATCATCCATCACACCAGTGTCAAATGATCCGACTATTATGCCCGCGAGTATGTGGCCTGATAATGAGAAAACTTGCACTGATGTTCCATCTGATTCTGGCCTGAAAATAGATTCTGTCTGTTCTCTCAAAGATATGAATAAATCAGTGCAGGAGGAAATTCATTGGTTAAACAATCACAACACTATGAGTAATCAATGTGAAATTTCTGTTAACGATAACGATGTCAAAACATTGATTGCACAAGAGAGAGAAAATATACCAGATGTGTGTGCAGTATATAGTGAAAAAAAACTTGTAACTCAAGAAAAAAACTGTGCTGAAGGAATAAATCCTGGGCTGAAAATTGAATCAGTTTTTTCACTGAGTGAGATGCCTGAAGGTTCCCTGGCACTAATGAACAGTGAAAATAATGTTAACAATTCTACTAAGATGGTAAACTCTGTTCTTTCTTCTGATTTTCATCAGTCTGATACACAGTCTGTGATTGGATTGAGTGGTGTTGAACCAGATGAAGGATTATATAGCATACCAAACAATTCAGGATTAAGAATTGACTCTGTGTGTTCTCTGTCTGGAATTCCTGAATTATCCAGTGAAGAGTTTGTAGATGTCATTAATTCAAATTATGTGACAAATATTAGGAAGTTGGGTCACACTGTTGAAACAAATCATGCAGAAAGTTCTTGCATCGATGTAGATACTAATGGGTCATTACAAAATGGAATTGATAGTTCTACTGATTTCAGTGTTGATGTTCCCAGACCAGCATATCGTCATTCTACGTTTACTAATGATAAATCACCTGTGAGTCCAATAAACAGACGCAACTCTTCCTCACATAATCTGGTTCATGATTGCCAGATATTGGAATTTCCTCAAAAGTCCAATATACAAAATTTAGGACTTACTACACAAATTTCCCATGCAAATGGAGTGGACATAACATCCAATAAACATATTTTACAAAGTGATAATCTTATTCAACCGGATGTTAACAATGCTGTTTCACCCTCGCTATTGCCACCAGGTATGTGTATACCATATGTTCATGGTATGGTACCGAGCAGTGATGTGACTGGCCTAAGAACAACTTTTCAAAATGTAGCCCCAATTGCCTCCATAAACTCAGGAAAAGATGACCACCATTTTTCAATGACCCTTAGGTCAATGGCCAAGTATAATAAAGCGTCACAGATTCAACCTTCCAGGTCTTCAGAAAATTCAATCACAGCTGCAGAAACATCTGTGAAAACAAATGGTGCCTTTCAAACTAGAAGAGAACCACTTATACAGGCACATGACACCAGCTCTCAATTCACTGCAATCACAAATACTCAAAGCATTCAGTTGTCTAGTGTATCATCAACTCCTGCTCAGAGAGTCAAAATGGTTTCATCACTGCAGAGAGAAGATGTATGGGAGCCGAAATTGGTTACTGCTAAAAGAATGTTAGCAAAGAATCAACATCAGGACACAAGCAATACTAGTAGGTATGAAAACAATCAAGATGATTCCAAAGTTGTGACAAAGAAAAAAAGTAGAGGAAGAAAGAATCTGTATTTCTCAATAAAACCACAACAATCATTAGGAATTAAGACTCTACGTGTAACTGAAGGGAAGAAAAAAGGTGCAACATTTCATGATTTGCTTGAAGCGACAATAATTAAATGCTCTGGTAAGTGTAGTATTCCACATGTAGAGGAATGGATATATTTTGACAGTTCAGCTCCATAATAATGCATGTTCCAAAAAGTCTGTTTGATTTTCTTTGTGGTGGCCATTAACTTGCATTATTACTCGTGTTTAACAAAGAGAATTACCGGTAGTACATTGTGGATACTAATAGTGATATTTTTCTAATACCCATTCCAATTTACCAATAAGCAGGTTGTCTAGAAATTTAGGGTTGCATCCTCAATTGAAATACAGTTGAATAAAAATGATTTTAAAATCTTTTTTGCAGAGCGTTTACAAGAAAGTCAATAGTCTTGCGTTCACAGCAGATGTATTAGAAATGTGACAAATGGCTAGCTGACAGTTCATCTCAGGCTTAAGTTTTCATCCAGTTTGAATGATTTGCTGTGGTTCACTTCCCTAAATTTGCCTTTGATGCGTGATACTTTACTGGTTGGAATGGCATTCATGAAGTAATCTTGTACGTTTTCTGACTGGGGCATACGTTCTATCTTTAACAGTAGCAGTGGATTCTAAATCTTCAGGTTGATTGATACAATAGCGATAATTAAGGTAGAAGCCTAGTCATACTTTTTGACAAAATTGGTCATAAATCACATGACAATGTTCATTAGTTTATTATGTACAATCGTGAAACTAATGTCTCATGGTAAATTGAAATAGCATTATTTTGTGTGTTACAGTTATGCTTTTTGAGAAACTTGTCCTAATATTTCTTGAAAATTTCTATTTTTAGAATAATTCCATAGAACTCTTTTTAAAACCCAAATTTTGAAATAATTCAGAACAACAAAAAGTACTCCACCATTAACAATATATGATTTTTTCAGCCTATGTCAGATTTTGAGATATTGCATAATATCTCTGCCATAGGAACCTGTGGTAAGAGTGTTATAATAGTGTCAAAATGGCGACTTTCCACTAAAATACAACCATCAATTTCTTGGAAAAAAAGGCTGGTGACCCCCTACTTTTTTTAGGTCAATAACCTTACATTGCCTTGAAGTAAAGTTTATTGCAAAATGAATAAATTCTGGGTTTTTTTAATTTATGAGTAGACTTCTACTTTTAGTTAATTCATGATCTTTTTGTATACAAGTAATTTCATATGATAACGTGTTCATATATATATATATATATATATGTATTTTTTCCCTGTCTCTCATTTATAAATATTATTTATTGTATGTATAACATGTCACCGTTTTGTAATTAATGTTTTATTAAACACATTTGTTTCACACAGCTTTTCATGTTTCAGATCAAACATGATATGAAAATTGTAAGTGTGTATTGCCCAACAAACGTTAATGTTAAATGTTAATGATTTATATTTGATAAATGCAATTTTTTCATTTAACGTGTTGAGTAGATTTTCCATTGCATTCCAAGTTGCATTGTAATATGTGATGACTAAATGCAACAACTATGGTATTCACATTGTAATATGTGATGACTAAATGCAACAACTATGGTACCCACATTAGCAGTTTTCAATAGCCGAACATCTTCAAGCAGTGATTGACTTTTCAGTATCTCTAAGTGTCAAGTCGCTGAATTCACGCAGGATAGTTTTTTTCAAAATTGGGCAATATTACAAAATCTTTGCTTCCAAAATGAGCATTGAACATTATGAGCTTGTGTTTATCATGCAGCCAAAGCAGAATTAAAACAGCCATGCAATGCAAGATTTATTAATAGTGAAGGCAAATAATAACTTAGTTGATAAACTGCTATAAGTCAATTTTTGTGTAGTATAGTTCATGATTTCAGTTTTCGCCTGGTTGCTCAAAATAATGAAACTCCAAATTTAAACTTTGCCAATAAAATTGTGAATGCTGATCTGCTTTCATTCAAATTCCAATATTTGAGTGATTGGCTCAAAAGAAAAACATTGTCTAAGCATGTATAACTGCATGTGACATAACTACGATTCCCACTTATTCAAATTGCGACACTTGCTGAATGTATTTATGAAACGTTTATAAGAACCCTGACTTTCTGCCATGTGTGATTGTTGCTACTAATAAATAAGCTGAAATATATGAAATTTAAATATATACAGCATTACTGTTATGTTGGTGTGTATACTTGCATATGCATTTTTTGTTTTGTTTTGAGTTGATTTTTTTTGCACATTCAACATGTTCAATGAAAATACTATTATTTGTTCAATATGCAATTACATGTAATATGTATTGCCTTATTTAATCTGTTTTTATGTTACCATTGCCATATTTCAATAAAATTTTTTTATTTTGGATGTGCAAAGATCACTAATTTGTCATGTACATGTACTCCATTCTCATTACATCATATATGTCCATGCAAGGTTGTCTTAATGCATAGCCATGCATATCAATAGATTTGTGTGTGTTTCTGTGTGATGTGTCTTCACACATTAACTCTTCTGTGATCTTTTGGCTGGGACGGTTTCGTTCAAACTTGGCAGGCAGGTCATACCATCACTCTGGTTTTGTGGTAAAGTCTTTAAAAAATCCTGGCCCACCTTGCCATGGCAACAGGCATAATACTGATTGTTTAATAGCTTCGCAGCAAATGTATCTCTTAAAAATCTAGGATTAAAAACGGCCATTAATTGACCCAAAAATCAACATTTAGACATGTTATTAACAGTTTCTGGGGCATGTCTTGACCGATTTCATTCAAACTTAGTTTTTATGCCTGTTTCATGCACATTTGTAGTTAATATGCTAAATACTATCCCAATATGTAAGCATAATCTGACTATGCACATGATGTGTCATTGACAATGACTTGTTGATATCTTTTTTTTTATTACTGAGAAATTTGACCTCAATGTTTTGGTAACTTTTCACCAGGAATGGCTTTTTTAACTCTTCTGTGAGTTAAAAGTCAAGTCATACTTTCAACTCTAGTTGGGTGGTAAAAATCTGCCCGCTGTTGCCATGACAACAGCAAAAAAATGTTTTTTAAATAGCTTCGCACCAAATGTATAACCTCTTACCAGTCTTGTAATAGCAGTGTTCAAATGATCATGCTTTTTATTTTGGATAAGTAGCGCAATAACAATAGATGACTACAGGCATGATATTGTTACACTTTATCAACACAAGTCGCCACGTAACTTTGAATGAACTTTAAATGCTGCGTTCAAAAAATTTAGAAAATACAATCGCAAAATGGTCAGAAATAAAAATAATCTAATTGCAGCAGAACTATTGTAATACACATCGTCGGATGCATACACAACATTGACAATGTACCAGTTACAATATATAGTGTATTTAATCAAATATGTCCTAGGAATACAAGTGTAACCCAATTATTTTGTGTGCCCAATATGTAGGTATTACTCATTAACTTAGGAAATGAGTTAGTATTTACACACCATTTTAGCATTCAATTGCAAACTATGTTTTATTACGTACTATTCATTCGTTTCGTATGCATAAATTACTCATCTACTCAGACAATATTGACAGGTTGGATACCTGTTTTGAAAACGAGGCAGTGGACAGAAATGACCGGGAATGAGAGTTGATTTAATTTTCTGTGCTCGCTATGTTGTATGTACTGTGGCCCATATATACAATTGGTCGATTACTTGGAAATCACTCGTCTACATGAAAACTGCTCTGCTACATGAAAATCACTACACGAAAATTGTTCTGCTACTTCAAAATTGTTCGGTTACATGAAAATCTGGAAAAATCATGTTGTATGTTGCAAGGTAACCTTTGACCTGCAGATATGACCAGGAAGTACAACATGGCAAGGTATACCATTTATTGTGTGTGCTTATGAAGTCGGGTAAACCACTGTTAAATAAAATGAAGTCAACCAACCTGCTTGAAACATCGTATTTGCATGTGTTGAATGTATTGGCATGCTGACTGTAGGCTTTGAACTTAATATGAAAACAGGTTACAAGTTAGACTTGCTTGCAATCTGTTGCGATTTCGATGAAAAATTCGTGAAAAATAAATATAAATTGCGTTAACAAGGGGTGAACGTGAAAGTCATGTGGCTGCAAAATCCCAACAGACTTGCCAAAATTTTGTAATGATATCTTTAATTCTCTAATTTTGGTGAATATGGAATATTTTTCTGCTACTGTGTGTACTGGACAAACGAGGTAGATTACAGTTGTTCACTGAGCTTCCTAAAAATCTAGTGCTTTGACGATCGACACTGACAGTTATGTCATCACGGTAAGGGCTTTCCATTATAAGGGCTTCAGATTTTTGGGGGGTGAATTTTCTCGTTTTTTCACAATCTCATTTCTAATCTTTTCCTAGACTGCATAATGCCTAAGTCGGCAAAAAAGACTAAGAACGTGCTAACAAAATTGTCAGCACATAAGACATGTTCATCTTGCCACTTGGTAATGTCGATTTGGAACCCACATACGTGATCTCTTGTCTGGGTTGTGTGCGGCACTCAGGTTTTTGCCTCAAAGGTATTTGCGACCTATTGGACTCCCAAGCGTGGAAACACTTTGAGGTGAGATTCAAAGCTGAAGGCAATCAATTGCGAAAGGCTGGTAAGTGTCGCACTAAAAAGGGGAAATCTATGAGTGAAAAATCTCCCTCCCCTTAGTGACCAAGACGAGGCTTGCCTCCTATGGCAAACTGAGGGTGTTAGAGAGTTGCCAGGGTCCAACTCCCTGCTCAATGTAGCGGGATCGAGGATCAAGGCAAGACCTTCATAGCCGTCCATCTCTGAGGTGATGGAGGCATCGGTTTCTGCCCTGGAAGCACCGACGGTGGGACTTTCCCTCAGTGTGGAGTCAGTTTCTCTGTGCGATTTTACCGAGGCGGGCATGCATCGTTCCACCGCTTTTGCTAGGAGTTGCCAGTCACCGCGAATACCGACTTCATCGATACCAACGCAGCCAGAGTTGCTTGAGCGAGTACAGGGACATACCTTGTTGTCTTTCCTTACCGGTGTTCAGTGAAAGGGGCTCCTCCCATGGTGATGAGCCGGCTTGGAAGGCCTGGATGTTTGATGTGGCCTCCAAAGTGAACTCCCTCCTACAGTCTCGGGGTATTACGCAGGAGGACCTGAGGGGTGAGAGTCCGGTGGGAGGGGCATGGGCTGTACTGCCTGTCTCTCCCCCGCCAGGACTTGGGTCAGATGTGATCCATTCTCCCGTTGGTCTCTTCTTTAGAGGATCTGGAGGGGAACAACTCACATCAGTTGGAAAGGCAGCGTCCACTTCTCCTATGGAGGGGGATCCTCTCTCTGGAAGGGAGCTCCCTATGCACTCTCCTCCAAACTTCCCACACCTGCCTCAGGCACAGTCTGACCAGGCTTCATTTCCTGTGCTTCACCAAGCCTCTGTGGGGTGCAGCTACCACTTCCCCAGACTTTTGTTCCGTGCGGGGCCGGGGGTAATCCTCTCGATAGGGGAGTC